TATCATCATCATAATCCTCTTCCATCAACAGTATGCAGTTGATGAAGTTCCTCGTCATCCTTTTGATGGGCATTATTGCCGTTACAACCACCATGTAATACCTCTATTATTATTACTAAATCTATTACTATTTAGGTTGACAGGATGTACTGACAAGACGGCTAAGTCTGAGTCTAAAACCGAGGAGGAGGAGCCCAAGCAAGAACATGAACAAGGTGGTGGTGGTGGCCGTACCCCTCAGGAGGAGAAGAAGAAGGCTAAGTCTCCTGAATCAGGTACACAATAACAACAATCAGCCTTCTCCATTATCATAACTATTTTTAGGTTAATCCTTCAGTGGATGATGACCTACTTGATATTAATAGCAGCTCAACATGATTGATATTAGTTTAACATCCAATATGTGGGTTGTGTAATGGGATGATATGTGTAAGCATCGACACAGTGAATGACTGCCTCATACCTCTCTAGGAATAATAAACATTCTACAAATTAGTAACGTACGAGGTAATCAATAGACATGTATAATGTGATTATAGAATAATTATATGATACTTTTCCTCGAGCAGCACTCCTTTTCACCAGGCAGCTAGCCAGTATAGGAGTATGGCCGCGAACTCAGCAGCTCCGAAATGAGCGGCTAAGCCCAGGTATATGCTCTGAAGCAAATTCACATGGTGGTATATGTACAGACTCGGCCGGAGAGGCCCCCAACCTCCCGGAGTCGAAGCACATTGCGAGGCTCGCGATATGCTCATCAGAAAAACCTTTCTAACACGTCAAATAGATCTTGGCCAAACTTTCCGAAGGTACTTCAACCACGCCCTTATCCTTTGAACTGACGCCAGGAGACGAGACATATCGTAGGGGTCCGATATGGCGCCTTTTCCTAGACAACGCTCTCTCCATTTACTCCAAGAGGTACATTGATGTAAGTGTACCGCTGTTTCTTAGTCCTTACCACAGTACCGGCACGTTGTTGGTCCGTGCTTCCAGTGTACCATGAACGCCCTCAGACAGCTGTGACCTGTCAGTGCGTCGCATACCAGCTTACGGTCCTCCATTGTCCGAGCGGCTTGGCGCAGGCGTGCACACTGCTTGAGGTCCAACATTTTTCCTGTTTCTCTGATCTTCAGTGAAGGGCGTGAGGTCCTCCACCTCCATTCTTCTTCTTCTTTAAATTTACATCGAACCTGTCGAACCGTATAAGATTCTGGGATGCCTACTTTCACTTCTCTGCTTCTCTGCGGCCTCCTAGCCTCGCCAGGGCGTCCGCGATCTCGTTTCCTAGACAAGCGTTATGGGATTTCACCCATTGGATGACAATACTGTCGTAGGAGTCAGACGCGTGCTCAAGAGCCTCCCGAGCAGACTGTACAGACTCACTCTCTAGCTTACTCGGGTTTATCACTGCGCGTATAGCGGCTTATACACAATTGCTTTTCTAAGCCTGTTATCCTTGGTTACCAAGGCTTGGTATTCGCAAGCCTGATGGCGGCGTTTTCGATTCCTTTGAGTTCGCCTTGCATTACTGTTGCATAACCTGGGAGTCTGGTATAGGAGAACCAAGAAACATATGTGCAAAATCCATTTGAGACCAGTTCAACTGTACCCGACCCTACACGGCCGACTAGGCCTTCCTCGTTTATCCTGCTACCGTCACTGAATAGGTACCTCTCCGTGAGTAAAAGGCAGTCCACGAGGCCGTCTCCAATAACAGCCGTTATACCCCTGGGTATTCCGCCTTTCGGAGGGAGCTTGCGGTCTATTGACGTGTCTGCAGGGATGTGTGTGCTCGTCCCGAGCGCTCCTCAACGTATGAGAGCTTTCTTTTCGGATGGTCCAATTTGCCATGTCCTATGCAGCCACTGCCGAGCGGCTCTTATTCTAACTGCCTCAGATAATGGCTTAAGTCCACTGATGCGGTAAACAATAGCCGTTGGCGCACTCCTCAGTGCGCCCCACATAAGGCGGCTCATAAATCCTTGCAACTGGATACATTGCTTTTCAAGCCAGCTACTTCCAGAAAGACTCCCCCAAATGGGTGCGCCAAAAGCGAAACGAGGTCGAACAATGGTATTCCATATCCAATGGAATTGCTGGGTGCCAAGGCCCCATCGTCGCCCCACCAGAGAGAACGCAAACGCAGCGTTAACTTGCGGATGCGAGCAATGGACTCGCATAGGTGCATTTTCCAGCTTACCTTCTGGTCTAGCCATAATCCTAAGAACTTAATGCTCTTTTTTACAGAATCGGCTAGGTCTTGATGTCCTCTATTTCGCAGGATTGAAGCCACCTCGCTAGTCCAGGTATCAACCCAGATTTCGTTCTTGTCCTTTGAGAGCGCTAAGTCAACATCAGAGGCCCAGTTTTCCATGATTGTCCATACTCGGGTGATTAGTCCTACAAGGCTGACGATGCCTGGGGATTTAATCGCAATGGCCGAGTCATCTGCGTACAGTACTGGTCTAACGCTTATGCCACGAGAGGGCTCGTTCAGCAGCTGCAACTGCTTACCGAGATCTAAGGTGGTGTACACATATAAACGAGGGGACAGGATGGACCCCTGCTCAGCAGAGCCTGCTGTATACCCTTCACCGAGTATCGCCGTGCACCGCCCGTGCAGGACCACTGACCTGTCAGAAACGAGCGTACAAGCTCACTGAAGCCGGTGTTGGCTAGGCGTTCAATGACGACGCATATAGCTCTGTGACTGATCGAGTTGAAAGCAGCCACAGGCTGTGGCCCACAGCGTCGAACGCAGCAACTCCCCTCACTGCAGGCGAGTTCCTGTGACTTTCGAGAGCTGTTACAAGATCCTTCCAAGCTGTGTCGGTCGATCGGTTGGCAACGAAGCCATGAACAAAAGACGGGAGCTCTCCTATAACCGCTTCGAGGCGATTAGCTATCAACGCCTCGCATACTTTTGCGAGAGTCAGGGAGAGCGATATGGGTCGAAACTTGGACCACCCAGTCCGCCTGCCTTTCTTCCTCAAAAGAGCAACCTCCGCACCCTGCAGGCATCTCGGAAAGAACTGGAAATGAAGAACAGCGTTCATCAGCTTGATTAAACTATCGGAACAACGGCCGTTCTCGGCCCATGCTCGACGAATGTGCTCGACGAATGTGCTCGACGAATGTGCTCGACGAATGTGCCCGTATGCTACATCATCTTTGCCGGGTGCTCGACCCGTGGATCTGGCATCCACGATTCTGTCCACTTCCTCGTGTGAGACTATCCCTCCCATATCACTGATGGGAACCTGTATACTGGAAACATATGGATCGGGCAGCGTTACGTTCCCAAAGAACGCCGAAGCTGCAGCTTCAGCATCAACGGACTCTATATCGACTGGAGCCTCTTCTAGGAAGGTTTTCAGGGCGCGTCTGTCATCCAGTTTACTAGCCCACTCAGTGAAGCTTTTGCGTTTTGCTTTCTTGATCGCGTGTGAGTAACGTCTCTCAGCGATCCTCAAGGATTCGGCAGAACTGTCAATGCCAGGGCCCCCTCGTATCCTAGCCTTCCTCAGTTCAGTTTACTTCAGAGTACACTCACGCCTCAGACGTGATAGTTCTGTATTCCACCAATGAGCGTCGTTGTTTCTTTTCTTCGGTCCACTCGACACTGGAGTTGATAATCTGACTGCCCTAGAAATTACCGCTAGAACTCGCTCTGCAAGTATTTCGGTTTCGTCAATCGAGTTTGGCGGGG